CACACAATAGTTCAGTCTCACCACATTTACAACCCCTGGCAAAAAGTATTGGGTCACCAGTCTTGGATGAGCACTCATTCAGACATTTCATGCTGTAAAACAAACTCAGATCAAAAACATGATGCAATAATAAGGCCATTCCAGACACATTCAGTTGATGTCATGGCCTGCAAATAGTCCAGATCTCAACCCAATTGAAAACCTGTGGTGGAGCTTGAAAAAAATGGCCCACAAGAAGGCTCTGACCTGCAAAGCTGATCTGGCAACTGCTATCAAAGAGAGTTGGCACCAAATTGATGCAGCATACTGTTTGTCACTCATCAAGTCCATGGCTCAGAGACTGAAAGCCAAAGGTGGTGCAACTAAATACTAGTGATGTATTTTGAACGATCTTTTGTTTGTGTTTTTCATAATTCCACACATTTTTCCTCAGAATTGAGTGACTCCATATTTATTTCCCTGTGCTTGGTCAATAAAAGTATCATTCACTGACTTCCACAATGTTTTCTCTTCATTTCTTTGAGTGTTCCTGAAAGCCAACAAGTTGCACTTTGGAATGACCTTAATATTGTGTCATGTTTTTGATCCGAGTTTGTTTTACAGCATGAAATGTCTGAATGAGTGCTCATCCAAGACTGGTGATTCCATACTTTTTGCCAGGGGTTGTATATTTGGGTTTCTTTAAGTTTAGGATTTAATTTACAGAATAACTAGGTTTTGTTTAGAAGGCAACAAATCATAACACTGTATTCTAAAATAAGTGCGCACATTTTAGTTTACACTGTTATGTTTTGCTTGATTTAACCTTTGTTTTTTTAGCTACCTCTGTTAGAGATTTTTCGGTATTATCATTTTGTTATTACGTTGTTTATGACATTGTGACATGAATCATGTGGTGTGCATTCAGGCAAAGTCGGTATTTGATTAACACGTCAGGAGGGAGGATGTTCGGGTGTGTTTCTAGTTAGCTGTTTCATACTTCTGTAAATACCGCCATTTATTAGCCCAAACCAGGTGTGTTACGTTCACAAATTAGCTCGACTTAACAAGTAGAAACCATGAATAAACCGACATAAACAACTTGGGAAAACAACTTTAGCTGCTCAGTTAAATACTTCAGATTCTCACTTCCGATGTACATCATGGCGCTTTGAATGATTAAGTGACGTAGTTGCAAAGGGTCAATACATTTGTCATGAATGCTGTTTTAACCTGCCAATGTGATATTATCTGAAAATCATCTGGCTAACGGCTCAAGGCGTCGTGCTGATCGCTAAGCGTCAAATAAATGCAAATCAGTCTGATTAAAATAACAATACTAATGCGTGTGTGTCTAGAATTATAGGGAAAATGAAAGCCGTGATACCATCCACAGTAAAATGCTTAGCTCCCCATTAGCACCTACAGAAAAAAAAATTCTGGAGTGGCCTCTGCTCGGCAGTATGGGGGATGAAACTGTTCTGAAGGCAGGACTGAATTGTAGTTTCTAGTTTCACCACTAGAGGACAGACATTTTGTGAGCAATGTTTTGTTCAGATGTGAAATAATGTTCAGGAATCAATGCAGATCGGTTGAAATTGTGTTTGTTGGTAGTTTATGTGTATTTATGAGAGTATGCAAGGGTGTAAATCCCATCTCATTATTGGGGGGAGGGGGGACCATAAACAGAAACATTTCTTAAGACCAATTTTTGGGAGGTCGGCAAAGTTACAGTGAAATGCAACGTAATGTAACATGGTTTAAAAAGTTTTTAAATCACATTCAAGCTGCAGAACCAAAAACGACTAGTAATGCACATCAAACATGTTTTTCTCAGTAAGCAACCTGCTGAGAAATAAAACTAAAATTCAAATGTTGCTTAGATATGAGTTTTGTTCAGTTTCACTGCTACATCTTTACAAAACTTTAAGATTCTAAAAAAAAAAAGCTTTAATGATTAAATGCTTTTAATAAAATTCCGCATAAACATTGATTTATTGAAATGGCTCCCAATACAAGTTATGGTCTATTTAAATTATAACTTAAGTTGCTTTATTTTTAAACCTTTTTTAGTCCTGGATGAGTGAGAACCAAGTAGATAGAAATGAATATCTGGTATCATAACTTAAACGTAACACTTAAAGCACCAGGGTTTATATAGAAAAATATTCAGATTTTATTTAGTGGTTTTAAAGGCTCTACATTGAAGACAGTGAGAAATAAATGCATAACTTTTCGTTTTTTAATAGTTGTTCTCTCTTCTGTTCTTGGCTCCCACACACAGAACTGTCGGTCACTCCTCAGCCCCTCCTTCCTGTTTCACTCTTATAATTAACTAAAAGGGGTCGGGGTCCTGACTCCCCCGGCCCCTCCGGGATTTACGCCTAGACATATACACAGACCCCTCATGGAGTGCTGAATTGTACGTTGCGTCACTGCCATCTTCTCTGTGGCAGCAGAGCGATCGGAGCACCTTAAGTCCTGTGCTGTGTGTTTCAACACTGTTAAAGAGTGTCTGTTCATCAATGTCAATATAAAAATTATCAGAATCGTTTCTATCAAATAAAATCGTGCTCTTTATTCAGAAATGCCCCAAAACAATTAAATAATCACATCAAAAGTTAGAAATGCTCTCTTTAGTCATTTCTTTGATTGCCAAAAATATTAATGTGTGTGAGAAAATGTGTCAATGACAAGAATTAATTTAAAATACTTTTACATTTTACTTGTATTACCTTAATGGCACATATTCCACATTCAATATGGCGGACGCTGTGACGTATCGCAGCAATGGACCGACCCGCTTCATGAGGCGTCTACGTATTAATGTCTATGTATGAGAGTATTTCCATAAGACTGGTAAGATACAGTTCATTTAGAAGAATAATATGTGTATTTTATTACTTTAGACCAGTGTTCCTCAGCCTTTTGGGCCAGCGCTATCCATTATCCAGGTCCCTCATCGCCTCCCATCAAAGAAGATGTAGGCTACTTGGCCTGAATATTCTTTTATGATTAATATTACTATCATTATTGTTGGCATCTTAATTTTTATTGTTTCTGTATTTATCATCAAAAGTCCTTAAAAGAGAAACAGATTACTGAATTATTAGTTTCCAAAGAACAAAAAGAGAACAACATATGAATAGAAATCATTTTTAAAGGTGTCTAAGAAAAATGCAATGAAAAGACGTTCAAATTAAAATCGGTAGGCCTATCAGGGTGGGAAAAAAATCTTATTCTGTGACTTTTTTGTGGTTATTTTTTTAAAGTTATTATTAATCTGACAAGCCTGATCAGAATGTATATCCAAATTTATTAAATAAGACTGTCTGGCATTCACATTTAAGTTTTAGCTTTATTTTTAGCATTAAAAAACAAAAGGCCTTACAGTAACTGGGTACATCAGCTCCTCGTCCCCACCAACTTTTAACACAAAGTTACACCACTGCTTGACTGATAAAGTCGCTGTCGTTGGCAAGCAGGTTGGTTAGCACGGGGCGGGATCTCGCTTGTGTGAGGCTGGTTTGAATACTGAATGCTGATTGGCTGTTCACTAGCAGCTGAGGGGTTTCAGCTGCAGCCTGACCGCAGACAGACAGACAGACCGCAGCCTGCTCAGCACGGTGCGCAGAACCTCAGATAAAGGAGATGTTCCGTTATTTCTGGCGAGTTTCATTTGAGGGGGCAAGACGTTTGTTTGAGGGGCACTGCCCCCTTTTGCCCCAGCGTATAGCCGGCCCCCGTCGTCTGGAGTCGAACAGTCACCAAGAACCAGAGATCAGTAAAGGTCCAGAAAGCAGAGAGACGCTGCTGGTTCTTGTTCTGGTTTGTAACTTCACTGCATTTGATCTGAACATGAATGAACATAAAGATCTGAACTGATATGATAAAATGAACCGTTGACCTCTGACCCCCAGGACAGGTCACATGATCTCTAACTGGTTTCTGGGTAGAAACATTCAGAGACTCACCTGGCAGGAAATAACCTTTGAAATGATAGAAAAGACCCGCAGAGATGATGAGAACCAGAACCAGCAGAACCAGCAGAGCTGAGGCCCAGGATGGAAATGGTTCTGTGGAAAAACAGAGAAAGATTGACCTCAGTCTGACCTTTGACCTTTATCAGCTGCTCTGAGAAAGGTCTGACCTGATGCTCTGGACTGACCTTTGATATATTTCAGAACCACAGTGTCTCTCAGGACGTCCTGGTCTCTGTAGACGGTGCAGACGTAGCGTCCATCGTCTCTGTGTGTGGGATACATGAGGGTCAGGCTGACGTCTCCGGTCCTCAGGAAATCTTTGCTCATTTCTGTTCGGTCGCGGTAAAGTCTGTCCTGCTGGGCGTAGTGTTTACTCGTGTTGGGAAACACATGAATGAACATGGAACGAGGTTCTGACCGGGTCCACTCCACTGACGTCCCCTCAGGAAGGTCGGCTGATGTTCTGCAGGGCAGGACGACAGAACCTGACCCTTCAGTGACCTCGACCTCCTGCTGACCAACTGAGAGGAAATAAAGGACAAAATGAGCAGAAACAGTTTGGATCATTATTCTGGATTGATGTCATTCAGTTTCTGTCTGCAGGATAAAAATCATTTATTTAATAATCAACATCATAAACTTTGATCCATCAGAGGTTCATGTGACAGTTATTGATGCATCAGAGGGTTTGATCTATACGTAGCAGATCTACAAAACCTTTTGGTTCTGTGGAGGCTGGAGATGAGAAACAACACTAATTATTACTAGGGATTCATCCGGTCAGCTGGTCAGTTTATACAGCTGGTCAATGATCAGCATGTTAAATTACATGTTATAATCTTAATAAATATAAAGTCTTTTTAAGAAGTCATAAAATTATGCTGAATTTTTATCTAACCCTATATTTATTTTTGTCTGATATTTACATGAATGTGTTTGAATAAAGCTGCTGTCAATGAAGAGCTGACTGTTTTAGTGTTAATAAAAGACTAAAATAGTGACTGAGGTCAAATATGAAGACTCAGAGAAATATGACATATTAATGAAAGCATCTCCATTTTGTTATGAATTAACAGCAGGCTTATTGGAAATAAATCTGTTTCGATAGTAACTCAGGTTATAGAAATGATTGTAGAAATAATAATGTCATGATAGAAATAATCCATTCATCAGTTATTCTGAGTTATTTTGGGTCTGGTCTCCATGGTTACAGAAACTATGAACAATTATTCATTTTCTCATTTCAATAAATTCATTCATACAGAACTTTAAAATATAAACTGCTTGTTTATCTGACCTTTGACCTTCAGGTGAATCTGTTTCACTGTCCGTTCTTTTACTCCATCAGAGATGCTGCAGCTGTAGTTTCCTCCATCATCCTGCTCAGGTTTCCTCAGAGTCAGGCTGAAGTTTCCAGTATCCAGAGCGTCAGGATTCATGGAGGTCCGTCCTCTGAAACGCTGGTTCTGGTTTTTAAGATCGTCACCGTTTTCTCTCCGTAGGTGGACAGAGTTAGGACTGAGATCACTGCGAGTCCAGAGGAGGAACGGATTGTCTTCAGGTATTACACCAGAGTAAATGCAGGGCATCAGGACAGACTCCGCCCCCTCATTAACCTCCACCACTCCACCCAGTGCATGCTGGGAAACTGAGAACACAAGATGAGAGTTTAGTGTAGAAATAATGACCAGTTATTCACTATTGTTCAAAGATTTCAGTCTGTCAGCTAAACAGTGATGCTGAACTCTTATTGGGCAGCAATGATCTCTGTTCATGTAACATGTAACTCACATTAAGCAATATGTCATAAAAAAGAATTAAAATATCTGTTAAAAATTAAAAACTGAAGGATTGAAACAGATGAAACTCTAAAAACGCATGAATGTGTTTTTAGAGTTTCTAGCCGTATGTCGTCATTTGCAGTAATCCCACTGTCGGTTTTCAGGTTGTGTTTTATCTCATTGACTGATTTGATGGTAAAGATTTTTGTTTTAGTATCTTGAGAGAGCGGTCATTGTTGGGGCAGAGATTTTGTTTCTATGACTTCCTGAAAAACTAAAATTCTTCTAACTTTATTTCTCTTCTGGTTCTGATTCTTTATAGTTACAGAATTTAAACCTTCCAGAAACTTTCAATCAGTTTCTGCTGTGAAACTGAAGCATCTTTGTTGATCAAACAACAATTTGGACATTTCTGTATAATCTACATATTTGTTTTATTTCAATAGAACTTCATTGTCATCTCAAAAGGGCTTAGACACAATTACACAGACTGAACCCAGATGTCCATCCATCCATTTTCTAACACCCTTGTCCCTATGGGTCGGGAGGCTTACTGGTGCCTCTCCAGCTAACGTTCCGCCAGTCTGCCACAGTTAACCCAGATATCTAAATTTTAATTCCTGCTAGTCATAAATACATTCAAGATGTTTGTTAAAGGATCCAGGATTAGTTGAACATGTTGGCCTAAATAT